TTTGGGGGGGGGGGGGGTTAGGGCTTCAAGGGTTGAGGTTGAATTTAGCGCGTGTTTTGGATCTTCGGCGAGGTTGGGCAAGAGTTGAGGATGCTGCATGTCATATTTAGGCTGTAGCATGTGCGGGTGGCACCTTCATCTTATTCGTCTAAGCAGGCCAGAGGTAAATACTGAGGTCTACACTAGGGCCTCTAGGGGTGTTGAGTTTCTGAATTTGCCAGGTGGATACTTCTTCATCTCTCCAAGCTGTGATCTGTGAAACATGTGCTCCAAGACTCTGCAAGCCCTTTTCCCTAAAGCCTAAAATCCAATATGCCGGCAGCTCGTAACTTTGCATGGTTCTGATCTTGCAAGTTCCTTTTGTGGGGGGATCCCTGTGTGTCCCCCTGAGTCGACTGACTCCTTGGGGGGTTTTCTCTAAAGCTTCAAGCATATGCCCTAGAAACCTATACTCCATACGCTAGATCCTGTATAAATCCAGTTTCAGCATCCCCTTCGAGCTTCCATAACATTCGATGCCACCGAAATCCCAGAAGCCCTGATCTTGGAGGCCTCATGTCCCGCACCAGACACCTCGCCTTCTTCGGAGGCTCGCAGGGACGTCCCGACGACAAACCCTAAAACCCTAATATCAAATTATTACTTCCTGCTGCGTAGTAGATGTATGATGAAGACTTGAGATGTCTATGTTGACAATGATTACCTTTTCAATGGAAGGAAATATTTCAAAATAGCGAGCCTTAGGCGGGTGAAAAAGGTTGCAATCGGTGTTATAGGGTAAAGGTAACCCTTTCCGTGGATTACGGCTCTAGTGGTTCAGGTCCGAGAGTTTCGCGGAGGAGGGTGCAGGGTTCAGATATTCACCCATAGGCCCCTTAGTAGTTCCTGCTTGGGATTACCTTATAGGATTCTAAATATGAACCCCAAGAAGGAACTGCTATGGGGCCTTTGGGCAGGGCTTACTTGAGGTTTGGGGTTCACCGGCTTTTCCGGCCTGGGTGCGGGAAGCTTAGGGTTCTGGCTTCGGTTCTGTAGGGGGCCTTTAAGATGAGGGCTTCGCATTGCTGACAGACTTGGGAAGAAGAGAGGGCTCAGGACCGTTTACCCTACAGGCTTTATTAGAGTGTAAGACGTGCGTAGATATTTGAGATGATCGACTTTTCGAGGTCCTTACTATAGTATATATAAGTATCGGAAACCTAAGCCTGAAACTGAACCTACAGATGCGCACGAACACTCTTGCTGGAACGGGACTGAGCTCACGGTTTGGGGTTTCACGGCAGTGGCACATGATTTGTTCCAGAGGATCGGGAAGCTGTACAGGTAGTCTCCTTTGCAGTTCCTGTTTTTCGTTAACATATTCTGATTTGGGGATACTATTACAAAAGCCAAGGCAATCAAGAAAGGAACTACAACGGAGACTATAGGTAAACCCTGAAGTCTAGAGATAGAGTCACCCTATAGACCCTAAACGTTGTCAAGAGGGCGGCAAGAAGGGCTGGATCCGACTTGACAGTTTTGTTGCCACAGGAGATGGCGTAAGCATCCACATTCCAAATGCACGCTAAGCCTTTGAGAAATAGCCTTTAACCCGTATAGTCCCCCTTAGCCTTAGACGAGAAGAGGCCGGACAGGAAGCCTTTTGGAGGTCTTAAACAAGGGTTTAGGGCTTAGGGGTTTAGGGTTTAGGAGTTTAGGCGTTTAGGGGTTTAGGCGTTTAGGGGTTTAGGGGTTTAGGGTTTAGGGTTTCGGGTTTAGGGTAAGTTTTATGGAATCCAACTCCTGCAGCTTCAGTGGGGCCAGTGAAGGGAGGAGCAGTTTGAATCCTGCAGACATCCCCCAAAACGCCCAAACCCTGAAACCGAAGATTCGGAAGCCTAAACCGACGACGCTCCTCACATTTGAGGGTTTTTGAACGGCTTAGGATTTAGGGTTTAGGGGTTTAGGGCTTTGTAAGTTTTCAACCCGTCGCCTTAGAAGCCTTCAGGACATTAAGGATGTGTCACACTCAGGTAAATAAATTTAACCAAATTTACGACTGTTTCCTTGGTTTCTTATTCCAAACAGGACTGCGTAGAGCGCCGTGGCAATGCAACGTGGCATAGGACAGTAAGACATCCCACCACTCGAACCCTATGCTCTCAGACCTCAAAGGTCCTTGAGCCCACCTCGAGTCTTGCCTATGCTCTACATGGAAGACACTCCTCTGAAAGCTAGTACACAACCTCAGCCCCAAGCCCACATAGAGCCTGAGCGCTGATCCTACCCCTGGAGACCCTACACAGCCTGTTCCTTTCCAGTGTCGGACGTATAAGGACATACAGGAGGAGGAGGTGGGGGAGGTAAACCCTATACGAGCTACCAACCGTTAGGTTCATGTCGGAAGTTTGTGCGTCTCACAGAACAGTAAGGGGGTCCTTGTCATAAGAATCGTCATGACTACGACTATTGTTTTTTGGGGTCTGTTTTCAAACTCTCTTATGCGTTTCCCCGACTATGCTCTTAGCCAGGCCATCCCACCACGACCACCACGACCACCACCACCGCCGCCCTCGACATCGGAGCCGCAGCAGCCGACCTGGCCGCCAACATCGAGGCCGAGGCGAAAGCCAAGGTCGGCGAAGCCGAGGTGCTAGGAGGGGAGGTACCAACAGCACCTCCCGTCGTCATTTCGACTCTCCCACCCTTCACAGCACCCACCATCCCACCGCCACCCACCATCGCCCCCATTGCGACCCTCCCCCCTCCAGAAATCCCGGCCATAGCACCGATCGCGACCGTGCCACCTCCATTGCCCGCTGCTCCGATCACCACCGCGGCCTGGCTAGAACTCGGAGGGGCCCACGATGTTTTAGGTTCTTCTTTGGGGTTTTGTAGGGTGTAGGAGTTGGGGATCTGGGTATTCTGAGGGTTGGCTTTAAAAAGGCTTTTGCTGGGTTTAGGGGATTTGGGGATATTCAGTGTGGTCAGTTATCTTGATGGTGTCGATTGTCATCGTCATCAAGGTGTGCTCAGGTTCATGGGAATGTGCTTAGCCTGTTTGTAGGTCCTAACTGTACGTAATTAGGAAGAACGAAGACGAAATGTGGTCATCGTATCAAGATAGTTATAGTGATCAAATTGCACCCGCACGCACACACACACACGCGCACACACACACACACACACACAACACTCTTGAACGAAGCACGCGGCAATGGAGCTTACCCTCATTTTATGTCTGGTGCTCCGTGGACAAATAGTAAACCTCTAAGAAGCCGCAACCCGGATGCGGAGCGGAGTTGAGGAATCGTGGGCAGTTATTCAGTGTTCGCTTGGACCTTACTTGGCGAACTAGTCAGCCAACTCAATAAAGTGCGGCTAGTGCTCAGCTGCTGCTAGCGCCGGCAGGAGTAGCAGTGATCAGAGGCAATCAGGCATGAGAGTCCAGGAGTTTACCGTAATGCTACCCTAAACCCTAAACCCTAAAGGCCCTAAACCCTATTACCCTAAACCCTCTTACCCTTCACCGCAAGATCATACAGTGTTGAAGCTGGAAACCCTACCCTAACCCTCCAAGTACCTACTATATAGGGCCCTAGGGGCTCTAGTACCCTACACCCCTAAACCCTAAACCCTATATAGTAGGGTACCTGGGGGGGTCAGGGCTACATCTGAGGCAGCGCTTCCCGGGCCACCTGCCTTTCCGACGCCCTTCCCGCGGGAGATCCCAGATGAATCAAGCGTTCTGGGTTGTGGGTGTATATGGTGTTTAGGGTTTAGGGTTTAGGGGCTTTAGGGGCTTTAGGGGTTTAGGGTTTAGGGGTTTAGAGGTTTAGGGTTTAGGGGTTTAGAGGTTTAGGGTTTAGGGTTTAGGGTTTGGAGAGGGGCTTCGAGATTGATTGGAGGTGGTTTATAGGGTCCACGCTTCTGGGCCTGGGATTTGCGATCTGGATTGGGTTCTCTTTGAAGTTGGGGGTCTAGGATGCCGGGTCGAGGGTCATGTGGCCGCAGCACAACTAGTCTCGATGGCGTCAGAGCAACTGCTCTAGATTTCGATTGTGAGCAAATGTAAATGCGGCCGTAACGATCGACGTCAGCGATGTCGCCAACTTAACAACCAATCCGGCAGAGGTGGATTGACAGGTTTCGCTAAATCGTTTTTGGCCCTCGAGCCCAGAGCCTGCCTGGAGGGTTTCGGGTGTTCGGTGGCAGGCTTGACATCTTCAAAGCCCTCCCGATTTGTTGTTTGGGATAATATAGGGGCCTTAATAATTACCTATACTATCTTGGGGCTCCTTATTTTAATTGTATTATAATGGGCCCCAAAACCCTATTCTGACTATTGAGGCCCCTACATTAGTGGCAACTGGAGGCTGGTGAGTATGATCGGCATTCGGTACTAGGGGATCCTTAGGCGGGTCCTGGTATAGGGGCCTAAATCATTACCAATACTACTTTGGGGGGTCCCTTATTATACTTATAGTATCAGCATACCCCCAAACCGTATTCTAATTACTAAGGCCCCTAACCCCTAAACCAGTATAGTAGCCCTTATGGAACCCCGCAAGGAACCCTTTAAAGGAACCTAAATTATCTTTGGAAAAACCTTTTAAACCTAGACCCTGAGTCTGACCCGGAAGCCTGAAGCACCAGACGACTATTGCAAGCCCCCGCCCGGAAAGGCCCAGAAAGGCTGCAGCCATGGGTCCTGACAGCTGGGGTTTAGGGGTTTAGGGGTTTAGGGTTTAGGATTTTAGTGGTTTAGGGCTTTAAGGGTTTAGGGTTTGGGGTTTAGGGTTTACGGCTTTACGGGTTTAGAGGTTTAGGGGTTTAGGGTTTAGGGTTCAGGGTTTTAGGGGATTGGGAGGACCGACTGAAACAAAGAGCATGCAGAGAGACCCAGAGCCCCGAAAGCCTGAGCCACTCCGAAATGCAGGGTCGACGACGAGCAGGCGCGGGATTGCAGGTTTGCAATGGGAAGGTTCCAGCATCTGGAGTTCTGGGGTTTAGAGTTTGGGGTTCAGGGTTACAGGGTTTTGGGTTCAGGGTTGTTGGCTTTTAGGGTTTCGGGTTTAGGGTTTAGGGTTATAGGGTTCAGGGTTTGGGATTTAGGGCTTAGGGTTTAGGGTTGTGTTGTCGGCTCTGGGGCATGCAGGGCTCGGATGCTTCCTAGATGTTTACGGATACGGCAGCTGATCGTTCGTTCGTCCCAAGCCCCTGTACTAAAGGCCTGAAGCTTGCAGCCTCCAACCCAGTAAAACCAAGAACCGAAGCTCAAAAAAGGGAAAGTTCGAAGCCATCAAGGCCAAACATCCTGAACCCAACGCAGTGATCTCAGACCGCGTGGACACCCAAAGATCCATGGAACCTTTTGCACCTTGCAACCCAGAGCCCGAAGTCACAGAGATCCCTCGACCTCAACTCTGGGGTTTAGGAGTTTTGAGTTTAGGAGTTCAGGGTTTAGGGGTTAGGGTTAAGGGTTAAATCTTTCGAAGTCTTGTCTCCCAGCACTAGAACGGGAGTTGTGGACCAGAATTCCCACTGGCAAGTACAGTAGGCTCAACTTTGCCAACGCTCTCTCGATGCTCTTCCAAGCTAGCTCAAGACCTCAACCCTCGAAGGCCCCAATGTTGAACCCCAAACCTCAAGCCCAAGCCAACAGAATCCTAGCAACAAGCATGTTGATAACTGCCCTCAGCCCTAAATACCCCAGAGTCTGGAATTCTGGAAAAACCTACAGCACCCTACAATACCCGATCAAGACCTATAGAGCCCTTCCAGCAGAACGAACCAAACGCAACCAACACGAGCTCAGCTCCTGGAATCAAATATTACAGGGGACAGGGGTCTAAATAGTTACCAAGACCACTTCGGGGTTCAAAATTCTACCAGTAATTATGGTACAATTGACCCCCCAAACCCTGTTCTAAACCCCAAACCCTAAACCCTATGTTAGTGAGCTGTGACAGGTCCTACAGCACCTCTTAGGCCGATATGAGGAGCTGAAGAAGCAGAGGTCGACACAGGGGTTGGAAAGCGTTCAGCTTTAGGGCTTAGGGTTTAGAGCTTGGGGTTTAGGGTTTAGGGTGTAGGGTTTAGGGTTTAGGGTTTAGGGTTCATGTTCAAGTGTTTCTAGATGAGCGACAGGGCTGACTCCGTCTTTAGGGTTCTTTTGGAGTGCCTTTTGGGGCTCTCCGAGATTTTGAACGGTTTCTGAGTGGGTGGCTTTTGGAGGGGTTTGTCAAGTTTTTGTTCACGGGTTCTGCATGGTTTTGGCATGGGCTTTTCTGTTTGGATTACCAAAGGCTGTAGGGTTCCTTGGGAGGTTTCGGGTTGGCTTTGGGGATCGAGGGCTCCTCTGAGAGTTTCTTTAGGGCTCCTTTGAGGCTGCCGTACTTGGAGGTTCATGGGTAGTTATAAGTGGGGCTATGGGGCTCCTTTAAGGGTTCCTTTAAAGGTTCCAAAGGGTTTAGGGTTTAGGGTTCATGGGTAGTTATAAGTGGGGTTATAAGTAGGGTAACTGTAATTATAACCCATATTGGGGGACTTTTAGCTCCACTTATAACTACCCATGAACCTCCAAGTAGGGGTCCAAGAGGCTTTCAGTCAAGTCTTCAAAGGGCTCTGTATATTGCAGTTTCTGACGGTTGAGGGTCTGGGTTCAGGGTTTGGGCTTTGGGTCTACAATAATTACCAGTACTAATTTGTTTTTGAGGGGGGTCCTTATTATATTCCTAATATAATAACGCTATTCTAATTATCAAGGCTCCTACGTCATGATGGGTTATGTTTACACAGGGACAGAAACTTTACCACCATGGCCACCGGGCTTCTAGGACTTGGTCATGACTCAGGGTTTTAAGGTTTTAGGTGCTCTGGATCACTCGGCCTAGCAGTTTGTCATCATTATTACCATTTTCAACCCGAAAGCCTTAAATCCCCAACCCTAAACCCCAAACCCTACACCCCATAACCCTATAACCCTAAACCCTATAACCCTATAACCCTATAACCCTATAACCCTATAACCCTAGACCCTAAACCCTAAACCCCAAGGCCCTAAATCCTAAACCCTGAACCCTGAGCCCAGCCTTGCCACAGGGAAGACGTCTCGCAGCTCAGATTCCAGGAGCTGCGCGGTGTTCACTTTGTCATAGTTGGGTAACATTTTACATTTTTAAGGGTACTTAAACCCAATAAGGAATATACATTTAAATTTGTAATACTACCCCAACCATGAACAAGTTCAGGGTCGTACATTGTCGAGTCCTTCGCGGTCATTCGATTCGGGGTTTGATTCGGACTTAGAATACAGCATGTGGGAGCTTCAGAAAATTGGGGTACCTTATTTTGGGGTCCTTATAATAGGGATCCTATTATTTAGGGTACTATATTAGGGTCCCTATTTTCGGAAATCCCCATGTAGCAAGATACTGGTGGTCAGGCGGGTTTAGGTTCTAGCTTCAGGGTGTAGGGTGCAGGAAGGGAGGCTTTTGCTGACATTGGTCGGACAACGCAAAGTTCAAGCCGACGCTTTAGGGTCCAAGCCCTAGAACCAAAACCATCGACCGCGTCGCAGAGACATCACCGTCAAATCCCTTGTAGGCTTTTCAGACTTCTAGGGTGTTCAAAAGTTTAGATTTGGGTGCTGTTTGGGCTAGTTGGATTTTAACAGTACCTGCCAATCAGAATCCCCGACCGCCTCCACTTCTTTCGCGCTTTCGGTATCCGAAAGTTCAGGGCCTGAGTGCCCGTGGCAGATTGCCCCAAACCATCATCGTACGGTTGCTGAGACGCATTATGCCCATAATAAGGGATATACCGTAGTTCCTATAGTTTAGGGTCCGTCAGGTAATGCAGGATCGCGTCTCCGAATTCTGAAGCCCAGCGCAGAGCGCCAACATCCCAAAGCGAGCCCAAGACCACCGATCGCAGCAAATGGGAGCCTGAGTCATTAATGTAAGGGCCGTAATAATCAGAATAAGGTTTTCGGGTATATTCTACGATAATAATCAAAATAACGAGCTCCCAAAATAGTATAGGTAACTATTAAGGCCCCTATATGACCACCAGTGGTCACCTCCAAGAGATTGCAAGCATAAAACCAAGAAGTGGGTTCCAATGCAGGACTTGGCCGTCGCCTACTTGGCAGGCTGTTCGACCCTCAGTAGTGCTTTATAGAACCTATAGGGTTTGGAGGTTCCAGGCTGTAGCTTGGGGTTGTAGGCTTTACGGCTTCAGATTTGAGGGTTCAGGGCTTGGGGTTTTCTGGCTGCTTTGCCTCTGGAATCTGTTCTGCCTGCTTGTTTGAACGATCTTGCTTCCTGGCAGCAAGGTGCTTAAGCGATCTGTCATTCAGGGGTGCGGCTGCGAGATGCTACGAGGTTTTGGGTAAGGCGATTTCTGGTGCACGGGTACACTGCTGTGAGGTCTTTGATACGCTGTTGCAACCCGAGATTCAGTTTGGTTCCTTGCATCAGTGTCTACATTCAGCTTTAGGGCTACCATAGAGGTTGGAATAATTAGCCATCCGACAGTGTCGCCTCATATCCCCTTTATCAATACTGTATACTAATATATCCCCAAACCCCACTCTAGTTGTTAAGACCCTTTTATTACCGTTTAGGGAGTCCCCTGACAGAAAGCGAGCCACACACACACATGGTGCAACCAGGGCTTGTCGAGACGTATGTTTCCAATCCTCAACGCAGCATTCCTAAACCTCACAGCCCAAGACAACCATGAATCTGAAGCTCTGAGCCCGATCTTCGAAAGCTCTCAAACTCTGACAGCCGGACTACAATCCAATGATGAGCTCGGGGTCTTCGAGCTTGCAGTGTAGTGCTTCACAGTTTTGGCTTGGATGCCTACTAAAGCCGAGTAAGGACGCCTGAATTCCTCACAATACCTGTCCTCTCTGCCCTTTTTTATATTTCGACTATACTATACCCCAAAACCATGCTAGACGGACAAGTCATCTGTGGCTTTGCTGGTCGCAGACTTCTGTTCGTGCAAGCCCCCACACCCCATTCTGAATACTAGCCCCGTACATTATTGAAATCAGAGACCACTGAGAGTTGGCTTTGGTGGTTCGAGGGTTTGCCAACTTATCAGTCGCCAGCCGAGGGCCCTGAACCATGTCTTGCCAGAGAAGCGCATTGCAACCTAGACCTAGATCCCTGAAGGCTTGCGCATTAGCTTAAGCCCTAAACCCTAAACCCTGAAAGCCTATGCGCGTATTTGTTTAAGCCTTCCGTCTGGGCTAACTGCGTCGTGATGAAATTCAAAACCTAGGAAGATCTGGGAAGTAACGTCCCTAGCAGTGGTTTAAGGGGTTTAGGGTTTAAGGGTTTGGGGGCTATTAGGGTTTAGGGATTTGTTGAAAAAGGTTAAAGAAACAAGCCAGTACTTGAATCGTTCCCAAGGACCCGTAGATGGCGACAGAATTTGTTCTCCTCAAAGTCCAACACGTAGTAGTAGAGCCAGACGAAAATCTGAACTTCGGGGAAGGCGATCTTGCGCCTCTATAATTTATACGCATACTCCTCTTACAATACTGTATAATTTGACCAGAGAGCATAGGTGGATGAAGCCCTAAACTGAAAACCCTAAACCCTAAACCCTAAACCCTAAACCCTCAACCCGGGACAAGTAAGCCCAGGTGCCTCCCTCGTTCTTGGCCTTGTGGCCGTGAGAGTCCGGGGCCACAGCTTGAGGGTTAAGGGTTTAGGGTTTAGGGTTTAGGGTTTAGGGTTGAGGGTCTGGGGATGTATAGTTCGTTGTGATGTAGAGTTGAAGGTGAAGAGTGTAAGTTTCAGGGTTTAGTGTTTACGGTTTATGGGTTTCGGGTTTGTGGGTGAAGGGTTTAGGGTTGCGGGTTTGGGCAAAATGCCCAAAATAGCTTACGCCACGGCACCACTCTATATTTCAAGGTAATTGGTTCCAACCACTACCCCTAAACCCTAAACCCTAAACCCTAAACCCTAAACCCTAAACCTTATCGGATTGTGTATCGCCCTGGGTACACCCGAAGGTTTAAAGGGCTCTCCTAAGGCGGCCTGGCGAGTACCCCACCGGGACAACAGCGATCAGCGGCCGCTGCTGCGAGAGCAGCGGGAGGTCGATGTTTGAGGCACTGGGGCTCTACCCATAGGCCCCATAGTAGTTCCTTTTTGGGGTTACCTTATAGGATTTTAAACATGAGCCCCCAAAAAAGAACTACTATGGGGCTTATAAGTATAGGAGTCAGGGTACAAGGTTTGGGGCTGAGGGCTTTGTGAGTTCAGGGTTTGGAGTTTAAGGATTTAGTTTAGGGTTTAAGGTTTGGGGTCTCGGGCTTCCAGTTTCGGGCTCAGGGTTTACAGTTTCAGATTTGGGGTTTAGGGTTTAGGGGGCCTCTGTGAACATAAGTCAAGAGTTGGCACCATAAGGAATTTAACCATTGTTTTCGAAAGTTATGGTGTTTGATAACGGTGGATTAAATTTTAAGCTTTTGCATACAGGTTCAAACAAACGGTTCATATGATTGATAAGGGATTCGAAAAATGGGGGCTAACACTGGTTTTGCAGGGGAGCTTCACAACAACCACCTATACTTTGATTCAGGGTAACGAGCTTGCAGTCGTCGTGTAAGGTTTCTTGCGGTTTCAGTGTTAGGGTTTGTGCCAATGTTGATGGGTGTTCATGTTCATGAAAGATTGCGGGGCAGCGGTGTCGGGCATCAACCATGCGGTGTTGAGATGCAGAGGGTGACATGAGATCACTCCCTACATGCCCTACATAAGCCACATGTCTCGAACTGCAAAACATGCAGAACCGTACTCATAAACTCCAAAACATAAGCTTAAGACCCCCAAATAGCTCGCTCGTACGGCCCAGCTGTCAGGCAAAGATGCCCAACGCGGACCTCCCATCTGCGGGACCGCACCGTGAAAATGCACACTCTTTCTAGAACCCAGTGACTTCACCAACCTGTTTTAAAGATAAGATTGCTGAAGGCAGCGCATGATGACTTAAGGAGTAGTGCTTTGGTAGGGCTACGTTGAAGTCTCTGGGAAGCCCCGGTGGCAGCAAGTGAATGCCCCCAACCTGGTAGTATCCATACACTTGCAGCAACAGGCGAGTCACCCGCACGAACCCTAGCCGACCTAGACGCCGTCAGCTTCTTCATGTTGTACTGGACCCTCAGTCGACACTGTAAGTCCAGCTCGTGGCTCCAATTACCTTGTCGGGGTGCTGTTTTCTAGGCTTTGGGTCAGCAGAAGCTTTACTCCACAAGCCCTAAACCGCTAAACCCTTAACCCTCAATCCGCAGATCCGATAAACTCTCCGGCACCGCCGCTACCGGGGCCTTGCCAAGGATGCGTCACAAACGTCCGAGGCTTGCAGCCCCAACCAAACCACTGCAATAAAGGGACCTAAATAAGTTGGACAGGGTTTTGCTGGTTTAGGGTTTTGGGTTTAGGGTTTAGGGTTTACGGTTAAATAAGTTGGACGGGGTTTTGCGGTATATTATAATCGTATAGTTATGTTAGACAACCTGGTAAGAATCATGGTAATGGTTTAAGGCTTTAAGGCTGTGTACTGGATAGGAGAGCTTTTGCCGCTGCTGGGTGTAGGCCCCGCTCATGAAGCCGGTTTATGTAACCCTAAAATCCAACACCTGAAAACCCAAACCCCAAAGCCGAAACCTTAACCCCCTTTAATCTGCTCTGAACCTAAAATAAACTGCAAGCTTCGGTGAAGCAAAGGTGTGTTGACATTGTCTCACCTTGGACTAGAATGCTCCCAGGGCTAACTTGGCAGGGTGTTTCAGTCCTGGTAGTATGGGGTTCGGAACAATGAGCACTACTATCCCCTCTGTCTAGGTTTCAATGTACCGAGACTCCTGCGTGTGAAGGGCCCTACACACGTCGCTTAGCTTGTCATCCAAGCCGTGAACCAAGTGTCCTCAAGCCCTAAACCTTAAATTCATACCAAATGTATGTCAAGGACCTGACCCCGACATATCATCGGAGCCGCAAGAATTTGTATCATGTCTCCGGGTTTGAGGTTTCAGGGTTTGTTAGTTTCAGGATCTCACGGCCACCATGCGAACCAGTTCAGCATAGACTCATCCTTCGCAGGCCCCATTCGGTGTGGGGTTAAGGGTAAAGTGTTGAGAGTTGTAGGGTTGGGGTGTTGAGAGTTGTAGGGTTGGGGTTTAAGACACGCTGTACAGGGCCTCAGTGAGGCTTGGCCATAGCTGCTGCCAAGACGCTCTGTCTACAGTTCATGCCTATCTTGCTTGCAACGACCAGTCTCAAGCACAGCATGGTTTGTACGACTCCCAGAATCGAGCTTACGTTAAGTTGTTGCGTCTCCTTACCTATAATGTTTCCCAACACAACAAGAGCCTTTGCCATAGTAAGAATTTCACACTAATAGTCCATATTGTATGTACTCTCAAAGGGTGTACCTTAAACACCCATATAAATTTTGAGACTCAATAATGTTTCAAATCGCCATTCTGGGACGAAGCTCTTCAGGGGCTTGTAGTGCCTAAGGTGGAGGGGTTGAAGTAATCAGAGGCAAGTCTCAGACACTGATTAGGGTTTATAGTAGGGTGTACAGGACGCCAAAAAAAACGATGTCTATGTAAAGCCTAAACCACGACTGCAGACCTTAAACAAATCTAGGCAACACGATGAAAACCCTAAACTGACTGCTTTTACCGGGATTCCGTCGTTGCAGCTCCGTGCACAAGTTGAACGACAATCGGCCATCGGCCGCAGTGGCTCATCGGTAGGATTCAGGGGCTTCGTGCTTAGGATGTCGGGTTCACGGTTCAGGGCCGTTGCAGGTTCGGGCTTGATCTCACGCTGTCTCCCAAAGGGTCTTGGTACGAACAAGGTGTATACATATGTATGTATATATATATATATGTATATATATATATATACATACATCAGTGTGTATGTATACTATTAGGGCCAAAATACCTACTACTGTACATTGGTACTTTGACGCTTTGGGCCTCTCCCCTGCTTGCTGGACGGCGATGGGTAAGTCCTGTTCATTTTCATGTGAAGAATCCCTGTGTGCCAGAAGTTGCGGCGTAGTTTTCCTGAAGGATCATGAAGGTCGAGCTCTGACTGATGGGGTGTAACTAGGATTGAGAAGAGTTGGAGCTTTCGCATTTGGCTCGGGCTCCGGGACTGGAGTGGACGGCTTCTTTAGGTTAGGGGTTGATGGGGTAGGCTGGCACTGGGAGTTTTGGCGAGTTCAGGATTTGCACCGGCAAGCTCGTGATCACACACTGCAGACGTCTAGATCTCTTGAACGGGGCCTTAACTGCACAGCCGATGCGTCGTCGTAGGAGGCTGATGAGAAAATTCTCGCGTAGCCTGCGTGCCCTCAATGTGGGGTCCCAGAGGAAGGAAGACGAACCGCATGAGTAGCCTGTAGTTGAAGCTTCTGGCTACTGTTATACATTAATATTGGTCTTTGGGAACCGAAAGATTTTGCTGCCTGACTTGAACTGCAAAGCTAACTGACAATAAGATCATCCCCATGTTATATAGTCCTTATGTAATTGGCTAATTGTACAAAACCTATTGCAGCAAAGGCCTGGGCAACAGGTGAAGTCCAACTACAGAAATCATCCAGAATTCTGACTTTCGTAGTTCACCAGCCGAACTGCAAACCTAGAGCCCTGAGCCAGACTGCTGTCCAATGCGACCCTTTAAAGTCTTTTTTGGTTTGGTGTTTACGGTTACAACAGGAAGAGCCCTAAACCTTAAACCCTAAACCCCAATGATTATCTTCGGCTTTCTTCCTGCTGAACGGCAAGGTACCTTGCATGGCGCTATGCGGAAATCACTCCATGTCCCGGGGCTAAGCACACAGCTACTAGCTAAGCACAATGGTTTTGGGGTAAGGGTATCAATGCCGAGTATGAAGGCCACATTGGCTCGTCGCAGAGCAGCATGTTAAATCTTAACTTACACACGGTTCTTAGCTTGTTTTCGCCAATTGCTTTAGCTCTTCGGAGGGATGTTGGGTCATGCAAAACTGAAGATGGATGTCCGAAGTTTTGCCAGCATCTACCCTAAGACTACGGTATCAGGGCCGTTACTGCCTCAAGAAGAAGGACTGGCATTGCTCCTGCCCAACATTGCTATGGCCAGTTTCTGCGAGTCCTACAGCCGTCGTGCCAATTAGGCTCCAACATGCTCCCTAAACCCTAAACCCTAAACCCTAAACCCTAAACCCTAAACCCTCAGGTTTGCATTGTTGCAAGCATTGCGGTAGCATGCGTGCTGTAAGGAGTTTGACGGTGTCGGGTCTTGGCCACAAGCAGAAGCAAAGCGAGATTGAAACCACAAAGCGCGACTTCCGCGAAGTGCTTAATTAAAGGCAACTGAAGGCTTTTTGTTTCAGCGGTGAAATCATACGACTCTCCGGAGGTGAGCACTATACAAAGGAGAGGTCGGACACGCAACAGAAATAGCAGACTTGGCAAAGCTGTCTGATATCGTCAGTCGCCACTGGTATGAGGTATTACATACAGTTGCCCCGGTTGTAGACGAAGCATGAGTCTTGTCCTTTGCCAGTTTGTTGCGACCGCGGTTCCGTCTGGGCATTGTCCACTGCCACCATGCTCATTCCTCGTATAATTGTACGGAATGATAATGGCATTAATGAACACAATGACAAATTAGTTGGTTTGATTGTTGTTGTTGTTGTTGCTGCTGCTGTAGCTGTTGCTGTTGCTGTTGCTGTTGCTGTTGCGGGTGCTGGTGCTGGTGCTGGTGCTGGTGCTGGTGCTGGTGCTGGTGCTGGTGCTGGTGCTGGTGCCTGCTGGTGCTGGTGCTGGTGCCTGCTGGTGCTGTTGCTGGTGCTGTTGCTGCTGCTGGTGCTGCTGCTGGTGCTGGTGCCGTTGGTGCTGCTGCCGTCATTGCTGCTGTTGTTTTTGTTGTTGTTGTTGTCGTGGTTGTCGTTGTTGTGCTGGTGCTGGTGCTGGTGCTGGTGCTGGTGCTGGTGCTGGTGCTGCTGCCGTCATTGCTGCTGCGGCTGTTGTTGTTGTTGTTGTTGTTGTTGTTGTTGTTGTTGTTGTTGTTGTTGTCGTTTGCTGTTGTTGTTGTTGTTGTTGTTGTTGTTGTCGTCGTCGTCGCTGTTGTTGCTTGTGCTCTTGCTGCTGCTCTTGCTCATGCTTCTGCCGTCAAAACGACGAAACCTCTAGACTCTAGACTCTAGAGCAACGCAGCCATGCTGGCAAATGAGCGCTTCAAGCTGCCGCAGCTGCATCGGCCAAAGGGCCAGCAACATGTTTTCACAAAGAAAAGGGTCATCGCGTGAGTTGTGTTCATTGCCGATCCACGGTAGCATTCCACCCCCCCCCGCCCAAGCAGGCCGCACTTGTTTCAGGACGTTAGTTTTTTGGGAATGCTAGAAGTAAGAGTGAGCTTCCGACATCGTGGACGAGTCTCCTGCGACGGCAATAGCCTGGCTGAGTAACTTGACAGACATAAGAGACAGTGACATGTAGGAGTTATGTTTTTGAATAGCAGGCAAAAGTCCAGCGAGGCTTAGGCTTTGATTGGCTCCTGAGTTGTTGTGGTTTTGGCATGTTCAAGCACACCTGAATGGCTTGGAGTGCGGCGTCTGCCTTTTCCATGGACCTCGCGAGATCAACCTCTTTTGTTCAGTTTTATTGCTCATGCACGTAACTCGCTGCCTTTCGGGATCGAGCGGGGAACTGAGTAATCATGTCGAAAGCAGGAGATCGACGAACTGAAGTCCAACACATGGCTGCTCTAGCTTCAAACCACATGTAGCCCAGATGCTATACCATTTGGTCGTCAACCCCAAATCTAACGATGATTGATACGTTGACCCCGCTAGGCTCCAGTACATGCATGGCCTGCCACCCTGAGCAGGACTAGCACGCACAAGGCATAGCTACAAGCAGTCCGTCAGCCCACTACAGCTACAACACAGGTGAGGACAGTTGTTCTCATGCACGGATCCTGGAGCCTGAGCTTGCAAGGTCTGCACAAGTCATCCTACTCCCACGAGCTCAACCTGACTCCCTACACTTTGTAACCCTCAAAACCCAAACCCTCAAGCCCTAAGCACTCATCCCTGCGTCAGCTCAGAGCCCGACAAAAAGAAACACTTCTAACCCCTATACATTGCACGTAGACCCTCCTTGGCTTCAATGGTCGACTCCAAAGCATCTGTGCAAAGCTCAGGGATGCGGTCTGAGGATTTGATACAACTCTTCTTCATCAAGGGTTTGGGATCCCTACAAACCCTGAACCTAAGTGTGCACGTTGTACGAAGGAGGGCAACGCCTGGATGAGCTCTAAAAAATCGCCGACGGACCACATCCCATGACCCTTGAAGTACAACAAGGCCGACAACGGTAGAAGTTCCTTGTTCCATCAGGGTACTGAACCCGCTTAACAAGCTCCCCATCCTCGCCACATGAAGAATCGTGCTGCACAGAGCGCATGCAAACTGAGCCTGCCTTGTTGGTTTGTGTAGTTTCCATTGCATGTGGTGTTGGGGTTTCCAAGTAGTATCGGAGGTGTTGGGTGGGTTCGATTCATAGACATTTGTCGGGGCTTTGAAGAGGTGTTTAAGGATCTATAAGAATTTCCAGCACCCTCGGGATTCCGGATAGTGTTGATGTTTAGTAATCAGCCTTCAGACTTCACGTGACAAGAGCCGTGGTTTGAGGTTCGGTTTCGGTTTTACACAACACGGTACTTGCACTCCTAGACAACGGTTACGAGCGTCCACCGCTTAGACCCATGCGGGTTGCTTCATGTCATCTCCAGAGGGAGACATCTAAGCAACTGAAACAAGCTGGGACAGAACTGTATGTGTTGATTGAGTTCTGCAATACCTCAGCTTGAACGCATACCCTCAATAATGGTGATTGGCTGCTTCGATGGCCTGCCAGGAAGCATGATGACACCCAATTTTGCACATCAGGCAGAGCTCTGATGTGACGACTCAAATTGACGAACGATTGCTGACCATCCCGGCGCAAGAAGTCAGGAATGGTCCGGTTGTCGAGTTGTTCACGTTGCGCACCGTGCTGCGTTCCAGTCGTTCCTGGCTTCTGTATGATGACATCCAAATTTGCACAACATGCGGAGCTCTCGCGTGAAGACTCAAAATGACGAACGATTGCTGACTACCCCCAGAAGCTTGTCGGGTGGAGTTGGCATGAGTTGGCCAGGCATGTGATTCACCGCTCTCTTTGCTTGCAAGAACTGTCCATGTGTAGGATTTCTGGCGAACAGAAGTCAGCATGTATCGCTTAACGCTGGAGCCCAGAAGTCTGCAGCTCAGCCGGATCCGGCAGATGGAAGGGTGGCACTATTTACTGAAGATCGACGTTCCCAGGATGCCATGATGATGCCCCAACTTGCACATCAGGCAGAGCTCTGACGTGACGACTCAGATTGACGAACGATTGCTGACATCCAGGCGCTTGCTGGTAGGAGAGCGGCGACCTCGCTTTTCTTGTCTTGCAGCTCTTGCTGTTTACGTACAGCCTGGCTTTTGTGGTCTCCTGTACCATAGGGCCCTAACTAATCCCCAATACTATGTTGGGGCTTCCTTTTATTCACAATATAGTAGTATAATACCACCCCCCCCCCCCCACACACACACACACACAAAACAACTTATTCTAATTATTAAGGCCCCCAAACCGTAGACCCTTATAGTAGCCCTTACAGAACCCTTTAAGGAAGCCTTTAAAGGAACCCCCAAAACCCTCTTCTAATTATTGAGGCCCCTAAATATAAGGATCTTCAACCTGGGACTCCAAATCCTCGAAGCCTTGAAGCTCGGAGGGCTACTGTTTAATTACAAGTAATGTAGGGGCCTTAATAGTTAGAATAGGGTTTTAGGGTATATTCCACTATAATTATAATAAGGAACCCCCAAAAATAGAATAGGTAATTTTTCGGCCCCTACACTACTAGGGTATTGGGGTAAACCGCCTTCGGGATCTAGGTTGTCGCAGTCAACTATATGGGTATATGGGGTTATTGGGTATATTTTGTGGTGTAAGCCCACAACTGATACTGTTGTTGCCGCCAGTCGACGATCACGAAGCGACATGATGACTCACCCAATTTCCACCTCAGACGGAGCTCTGAAGTGACGACTCAAATTGACGAACGATTGCTGACAGTCCTTGGGCCTCTGCTGGGCTGCATGGGTGCTGACATGTCTTGTCGTCCAGAAGACCCAGTTTGACGCTCATATGTGGTTCGCTTGCAGCTTGATCTCTCCTGCAGTTCGGAAGCTCTCGGTCAGCGAGAGGGGCTCGCCACCTGCTTGCATCGAACGCTTCTGTGTTGAAGCTGAGGTCGTTCGGTCTGTGATGCGGCTTCTCTACATGTAGATGCGACAAGCCTTCTGCGAGTGCATTCCCAAACTTGGATATCAGAACACAACATGTTCGAAATGCTGTTCGGTAAAATGTACCAAGCACTTTGCTTAGAACTCCTCCATGATTTGCAATCGGCCCGTTCTTCTTGGCATCGTTCGGGTTGCATGCGGGACCTGGATTTGTGTTTTGAGGTTTCCATGGGCGAGGATGTTTCTAACCTCGAGGAGCAGCCCTTTTCTCCGGGATTCCGCAAAGCCTAAGGGCCTTAACCGAAACTCCCTTGTGTACGGGTTTAGGTAAAGCCTAAAGCTGAACAGTCTTACTCGAGCCATGTGCCTTTTTTGTGGCTACGGCTTCGGATTCCTGGCCCTAGACACAATGCTCGATCTCATTGCAGGCATTCCAGTAAAGAAGGCAGCCAGCAATCTGGATGATGCAGTTTGCCACAGTTGCCCTTGAGGTCAAGAGCTTGACTCGGTGTCGAGAAACGGCGCATGGGTGCGAAACACGCGAGGGGCTCGGCATTGGTGGAGCAGCTCTGGTCAAATCACTCGCTTCATGCCGTCTTACACTCAACCCGATAGCTCGTTTTCTTGCTTGCGGTGTTTTGCGTACAGCTGAAACCTCAGTCCTCTGCTTGAGATGATACCCTATTACGTGCTATAACACAGTATACTATACTCGAAATGTACTAGAAAGTTCTTTGTCGGGATTTGCGGTGGTTCCTTCTGCAGTTTTGTCTTCGGTTCTTCCCAGCTCGGCTTCGACTCTCCTTCCATCCAGTTGACACCGCAGGAAGCTCCCGGGGCAACGGGTGTGGGGTTTGGGGTTTAGGG